AAGGCATTATGTGCCTCAGTAAAAATGAAATGTGCTAGGTCAACTATTTCATCACCACCTCTCTCAAACAACCCAAACTCTATACACTCTTATGTCATATGCATAATATTCTAACATATCGATAAGACATCAATGGCATGATCATCCATAGCCTGCTCATTCTCTAGGATCTCCTCATGAGCAGGCCTAGATGGACGTCCAGGAGCGTTTGGTGTCATATAAGGGTGTGACACTTTATAGAACCAAGTCATGTAACCTTCCATATAAGACCACTATTATGAGACTTCTTAACAATGATACTACTATTGTATCAGATGACTCTTAAAATTCGCCAGAATGTCGTCCATCTGTCTGTAAACAATACTAACAAAATCAACCTAGGGGGGATCTCAGAATGATCTACACATATCCAAACTGCTGCATGCACCACTCTGACAAATACTTGCACATGATATTAGTCTCACATGTCATCCATCAAGGATATAATGAAATATGGTAGAATGAAATAGTGTCTCGATGAGCAGTGTATGAGATCCAGATGACGTCATCATGCTAAGTCCTATCAATATACACACAGAATGACACCACAACATCATTCCCTCTATGTGGGAGGAAAAGGTAAACATGTGGGTAATCCTCTGTATACGTAGGTTTACACCAAATATAGTGAATGCGGTGATAGTGGGCAAGGATCCATCCCTGAAAATGAATAAGAAAAAAAATTAGTAATAAGTGTGCAAAAAAGTTGTTTTTAACCTTATAGTGGGATTTGGAAATTACCGTAAGCAGGATGCATGAGCCTGTCATTTGCTTTGTCGTCTAACGAGAACCTTCGCTCATCTTGGAGTACAGGTATACCAAGCATGCGAACCCCCAGTTCCACTAATGAATGGCCTCCAATTTGTTTACACTACTACAAAAAAGGAATTTAACAACGGTTGGAAAAGATATGCAATCACGCGGGTCTAGGCGTTGTTATGTAGAGTGTTGTTGTAAATGTGTTACTTACAATTACGGTTCTGGAATCGTTGTAGTATACAGGAAAGTTCGTGTGATATCACAATGGTTAGTTAACTTAATCATTGTTGTATGTCTTTCAATAAAATAAAAAATAGCAGTAGAACAACAGTAACAGTAAGAACAACATGAACAACAACAACACGAACAACAACAAGAACAATAAAAACAACAATAAAAACAACAATACGAACAAGAAGAACAATAACAAGAACAACAAAATAAGAAGAACAACAACAAAAACAAGAAGAAGAAGAAGAAGAAGAAGAAGAAGAAGAAGAAGAAGAAGAACAACAACAATAACAACAACGTACAAATACAAAAACAAGAACAAGAACAATAACAAGAATAACAATAATAAGAAAAACAACAACAACAGCAATAATAAGTATAAAAAAATAACATAAGAACAACAACAAACTAACATTGATAACTTGAATCCATACTTTCCTTGTTTCATTCAAGATGGAGAATAGATGACAAAGTTTTGAAATTTATAAATTAAAGAAATGATGCTTTTGAGTTTTGCTTATAGAAAAAATGATATTTTCGAGCTTGGTTTAGTGGAGAAATAGAGTGTCGTAAATGAAAGATGATATTTGAATGTAGAAGATGAAGTTCGTCTAAGTTGCAAGTTTGTCTAAGTTTTAGGTTTCACGTGGATCGCTAATGGTAATATCTTGAGCATTGATAGTACACTGAATGGATGATTGAAATTTATTTAAGGATGGTGAAGAAACTCAATAAATACGCTATATACAACAACAATTATATTAAATAAGCATTATTGTATGTATTTTAATAAAACATAAAAAATGAAGCAATAGAAAAGCAACAACAGCAAGATTCAAACTCATGACCATGCGCGCTACATACAAAAATGGTTATATTAAATAACCATTGGTGTATGTCTTTTAATAAAATATGAAAAATGCAGTAGTAAAAAGCAACAACAACAAGATTCGAACTCATGACCATGTGTGCTACATACAACAACAGTTGTATTAAATAATCGTTGTTGTATGTCTTTTTATAAAATATAAAAAATGCAGTAGTAAAAAGCAACAACAACAAGATTCAAACTCATGACCATGCGCGCTACATACAATAACAGTTGTATTAAATAACTGTCGTTATATGTCTTTTAATAAAATATAAAAAATACAGCAGTAGAACAACAACAAAATCAAGATTTGAACTCATGACCATGCGCCACATTTTACCACGGTTGGAACTTCAAATCGTGGTCAAAAGTGGCTAAAATACAGGGGGGGGGGGGGGGGGAACGCCTAGTTATTAGGGGTTCAACCACACTGAATCCTTTGACGTGGTGACTTGGGTGTTATTGTTTGCGTGTTTTGTAGTAGTGTGAAATACTTAAGGTAAGCCACATCCATGTAGGTTGCACTTTTGTCCTCAAACATATGCATCCCAGCAAAGAATAAGAATGGCACCTTAATGCATACTCCCTGTGGTAGCCAATCCAAAGATCATCGACATCTGGGTGTTCGACTATTTTCAAGTTGTCGTTATACAACTTTGCCAACTAAGAAAACTTGGCATGTGCACCCCTAGTTCTATTACATTATTTCTTGGCTTCCTTAGGGCCAGCTCCTAATTAAACCACCACCATCTCCACTACATCAACCTTGGTGATCTTAGAATGATCAAGCAATCTTCCTATGATGAAAATGTGTAAGAGGTAAGATACATCATCTAATGTAATCGTCATCTCGCTAATAGGCACGTGGAAATATGATGTTTTTCTGTGACGTCTCTCAACAAATGCAGCTTGCATACCATGACTAATGATGTTGTACTCGAAAGCACAAAGACATGCAAGACCGGAATTCCGGAGTACACTTTGGAACCACTCATCCTGAGGATGAAAAAGTTTGTGAATATTCTAGCATGGTTCACAGATTTCAGACACTCATGTTCCTATTAAAAATAAAATATAACATTCTCAGTCGAGTTAAATTTAGTTAAAATATAAAAAATAGAACGATTAAGAAATATACCTCTTCGTTCCAGATATGTAGAGCCATGTGATCTCCAAAATATTTCAATAATGAAATGTTTGTGGCCCTCCTGAAAAAGGGTCTACAAGTGAGGCCTCCTCGGCAACTGGGACCTCTTGTACAACTAGGATATCCTCATCATGATGTGCACGACTCTGGGATCCCGATCTCCGGGATAGCCGACTCTTAGAGGTCGATGCCTCCCTGTCGTGAGGCATAGGGATGACTCTAGCCTGCTCATGCAGAAGAGCCTTCTCGTGACGAGCATACGTGATTAGTGTTTTACGACAGTGTCTTATTTTGTCAACGCGATTAGAGTTTCCAGCTATTTTCCTTGAAAAACATAAGAAAAAAGATTAATGCATCGGGAAGGAAAGAGTTCACATATGTATCTCCAAACACCCGAGATTTGTTTTTTAGCTTCCATGGAAGAAACATTTCTGCCACTGTCCTTGCCATCCAAAAGTCATATAAATTCACCCAAATTATAAAAACAGATTCTACACGTAATCTATTTCAAATGCTAATGCTATCTAATGCACTAAAATTAACATATTTGAGCTAATTCATTAATCAAAACTTAAAATTAGGGTAAATGAGAAACTTACTCAATAATGTGTTGATGAGGGTGTAAAATATTGAATACAATAGTTAGAGGGAGTTGAGAATGGCAAGATACAAGCAAATGATCTGATGTTGCTTCCAAACTTGACCTTGAGAGGGAACTTAGTATATATATATATATATATATATATATATATATATATATATATATATATATATATATATATATATATATATATATATATATATATATATATATATATATATATATATATATATATATATATATATATATATATATATATATATATATATATATATATATATATATATATATATATATATATATATATATATATATATATATATATATATATATATATATATATATATATATATATATATATATATATATATATATATATATATATATATATATATAGAGAGAGATTTTTTCTGAAAAATGAAGAAGGAGAAGAGTGAGAGTCTAGCGTGAGCTTTAAATATGTTCACCTAGTTCGGAGATGCATCTTTAAAATATTCTTTTAAATTAAAAAAAAAAAAAGAAGGTTAATTCAGAGAGATATCTTCGAACATACCCTACAATTCCCTTCACATACATATCTGAATTTACCTTTACCTAAAATAAAAAATTGGTGCGTCCGAAAATATATCTTCGAAAACATAAGATATTTTAGAAATTTCACACAGAATCTGAGAGAAGGTATAAGGGTGCAATTAAAAATTATCTATATTAATGAATTCAATATATCTCATGTCATTTCTCAACGTCAAGCAATAAATGGAGATATATACTTAGTAAAGTTGAAATTATCTTGTTAAAAATTGAGTCATTTTTATTCATCATATTGTCGTTAAAATTGCGTGGATATCCCATCCAAATTAAATTCCAATTGTAGGAGATCTTTTGTGATCATCCTTTCCAATCTAGACACTAATTATAGGAGATCTTTTGTCATCATTTTTTCTGTCATGTGACAGATGATTTACTCTTACTTTATAAATGAGAATATTTTGTAGAGTAAATTATAATTTTGAATTTAAAACTTACATAAATATGTAGGTTGATTCATCATCAATATTATGAATGACACACCAATTCACATGATTAAAGCCAATACACGCAGAGTAGAGATATATCAACACCCGAATTTATTGAACAAGCTCAAGAGAAACAAGTATAAGCTTTCACAGGTAGAAACATTATAATCCACTCATAATCATATTAACAAAGGAAGCATTGCAGCACTTACAAAGTTCAGCTACAACAGCTATATCATATGATAGTAGATAATAAAAGATGCATTATATGCATAACCTAGCTCTAAGTTAAAAACTAATTCTAATCATAATATAGCCGAAACATCATTGTTTCTTTCAGACAACAGAACCTCCTGTCTGATGAAGCATGGCATCAATTTCATCCCCGTCCTCCATTTCAAGCTGCAACAAGAGATATAAATATTTTATTTTAGTATAATTGTAAGCGTTGAATTAAGACGCTGTAAACACAAACCTCATCGGGAGTCTGCTCTGCACGGAGGCGACGCCCATCAAAGAGAAAAGCAATGGAGTTGAAGTCCACAGATTGACGGTCACAGTATGCATTCATAAGCTTTTTAAGTTGAGTGCTTCTCTTGATCCTGAAGAACACTTCATTCCCATCCTATTGAAAGTATCTCAGATAATTAATATGGAAAGCTACAACCATGTCAAAACTTTAATACACATAAAAAAAATGACCGGCTGATCTAAAAGGAAAGCAAATGCAGATTATATGATCCAGAAAACGATAGCACAACACCCGGCTTTCTAATGAAATATATAAATAACAGTATAAGAGTAAGATCAAGATAAGACAAATAAGATCTAACATAAATAAATGCAACAAAAATAAAGAAAAAAAAACAAGATAACCAACTACCACCAAAACCATCATACAATCAAATTACATACATAGAAACCAGCATGCTTGAACAAACAATCATAAACATAAAAAGAATTTCAAATATCATTACCTTAAAAATCAACGATGGTTGCAAAAAATACAAAACCCTAGAAATTGAAGGAAGAAATTTGACGAACCTGACCCTTGACTTTAAGGTTGATATGTGCGCCGCCCTGATCAGTGGGCTTCTTGTCTTCCTCGTTGTTGGCCACGCCGGACGACATCTTCTTCAGATTCTCCCTCACCGCCGACAATTGCTATATGTGTGATTCTGAACGCTGATGGGTTTCTTATAGGAGGGATGAATCGACGGTTTTGATTCTCTCGCTTTGGGTCGTTCAATTCTTTCTGGGCCACAATATTACATAATTGCTTTGGGCCCAAGCCCCATATATAACTTAATAGTACTCCATCTTATAATTTAAAATTGACGGAGTGCTATTGAATTTACTTTTAACTATTTCAAAAAAATTAAAGTTATGTTTGATGTGTAAAAAAGAGCGGAGTGAAATAAAGCGAAATATAATAAAATAAAACGGAGATATTATTCTATTATTTGAGTACGTTATGATGAAATAGAATAATTTTGACATTTTATCTAAATCAGAGATATATAAAATGATGGAAAGTAATAGAATGGAATAAAATACATTATATCCTATAATACTCTATTTCATCTACTTTGTATCAATTCAAACGATAGAATATAACTTTATTTAATTTCATTCCACTTCATTCCATCTTATTTCATCAATTCAAACATACTAAACAACTTATCGAATACTCAAAAAAAGGAGAGACCATGCCCAATATAATTTATATTCTTAGAATTTGGACTTTACATTAAAATGTCAAAAATATGATGAAGTGACTTTTGAAGGAATGTGGATCCTTAACAGCATAACTCTCGGCAGTAGTATTTATTGGAAATATAATTTAATTAATGTCTATAATTCCCAATGCTTATTTTTTAATAGGGTCTTTTGGCATTTTCAATTTTTAGTATAAATATGCTACCTATGCTATCAATATTGTAACTCATTCATTCATCTATTTGATATATAATATTAGTCATCTTTGTTATCATTCATTGCTCATTCTTCTTCTCCCCTTTCATTACCTTGCACCAACAAATTGGTATCAAGAGCACTTGGTTCTGTTTTCCTGGGAAACACGAGTGATTATGAGCTGTGTGTTTGATTTTGGTTCTTTTTTTAAAAAAATCTTGAATAAAAATTTGAACAGAATCTGATTCTGTGGGTTGGAAAACAGTGTATTTGAAGATCTAAAAAATTCGTGCAAGGTTGAAAATAAGTGGAACAGTAGTTTGAACACCAAACTTCCAGTTTTTAATGACAAAAACTGGAACAGATGGATGATACAAATGCGTGTGTTATTTGATGTGCAAGATGTTCTGGATCTGGTTACAGATGGTTATGTACCAGCTGCAGCAGATACAACTGAAGAACAGAGAACTGCTGAGAGGATGATGAGGAAGAGGGACCAAAAAGCTTTGTTCTATATCCATCAGTGTGTGGATGAAAGTGTATTCAAGAAGATTGTTGATTCGACAACGTCAAAAGGAGCGTGGGATTTATTGGTGAGATGTTACAGTGGTGACGCATCAGTAAAGAAGGTGAAGCTTCAATCCCTACGAAAGCAATATGAGAACCTGAACATGAAGAGCAGTGAGAAAGTTTCTGAATATATCTCCAGAGTGATTCTGATCACTAATGAGATGAAGGCGTGTGGAGAAACTCTGTATGAACAGGTAATCATAGAGAAGATTTTGAGGTCGCTTACTCCTCAGTTTGATTACATTGTTGTTTCTATTGAACATTCTAAAGATCTGGAAACCATGAGAATAGAAGAATTGCAAAGCAGCTTAGAAACACAGGAGTTTCGTCTATCTGAGAGAACTTCTGAGAGGGAAGCTGAGCAAGCTCTAAAAGCTTTTTTTTGTCAAGAAAGACCAGAAGCAGAATAAACGTGGTGATAGATTCCAAAAGTCAGAAGCCTCAACTTCTGATGATAAGAAATATCATAAAGGAAAGGAGAGGTAGGACAAAAGGAAGGTTCAATGTTACTATTGTAAACAATTTGGCCATTTTGCCAGAGATTATAGGTCAAACAAGGAAAGGAAATCAGAAGAAGCATATATGGCTAAGAGAAACTCCGATGATGAACCTGTACTACTAATGGCTTATGATTCTGATGGAAAATGCTCAGAAGATTGGTGGTATATGGACACTGGCTGTTCAAATCATTTAACTGGAAACAAACAATGACTGACAGAAATTGACTCCAGAAGAAGAACAAAGATCAGATGTGCTGACGATAAGTATCTTAATGCAGAAGGTATGGGAGATGTCAGAGTTAGAGTGAAGAATGGGAAAGACATTCTGATCAAAGACGTTTGGTATATTCCTGGTATTAGAAGCAATCTGATGAGCGTAGGTCAGCTGATTGAGAAAGGTTTCTCAGTTGTTATGAAAAATAATCTTTTGACGTTGTATGATTCCAATCAGAAGTTGATTATGAAGTCTGAACAAGGAGGCAACAGAACATTCAAGGTAAATGTAGAAACAGTTGAAGCAACATGTCTTAGTACATAAGGCGCTGAAAGTAACAGTAAGTTGTGGCATAAGAGGTTGGAGAATTTGAACTATAGAAGCTTAGGGCATCATGTTCTAAGAAGATTTTACATGGTATTTCGAAGATTGTGAAGCCTGAGAAGTCATGTGAGATATGCATGAAAGGCAAACAACCTAGATTGCCATTTACATCATAAGTAAGCCCCAGAGCGAAGCATGCTCTGGGAGTAGTACATTATGATGTGTGTGGACCATTTCCAGTACCTTCACTTGGAGGAAACAATTATTTTGTGTCTTTTATGGATTAGTTTACAAGAATGACATGGGTAACACTCATCAAGTTCAAGCATGAAGTGTTTACTGAGTTCCAGAAATTCAAAGTGAAGGCTGAGAAGCAGAGTTGTCAGAAGTTAAAAATTCTGAGAACGGATAGTGGAGGTGAGTATAACTCTACAGTGTTTCAGAAGTTCTGTGAGGAGAGTGGAATAGAACATAAGGTTATTGCTTCATATACTCCTCAGTACAACGGTCTTGCTGAAAGAAGAAACAGAACTTTGCTTGATATGACCAGAAGCATGCTGAAAGAGAAAAAGCTACCTCACGTGCTATGGGGAAAAGTTGTTGCCACATCAACATATATTCTGAACAGGTGTCCAACGAAGAAACTAAAGGAAGTTGTTCCTTTAGATAAATGGACTGGAGAAAAGCAGAGTGTCAGTCATCTGAAGGTTTTTGGCTCTGTCTGTTACAAACGCATTCCAGAAGCTATAAGACAAAAACTGGATGATAGAAGCAAAGTAATGTTGCTGGTGGGGTACCACAGTATAGGTGCGTATAGGCTTTATTGTCCAGAAACTAATAAAGTTAAAGTCAGCAGAGATGTTGTGGTAAAAGAGTCTGAAGCATGGGATTGGAACAAATCTCAATCAGATTCTAGTGTAGTGCCAACACCAGAGTTATCCTCTGAAGATGTTTTAGAAAGTTCAGAAGATGAATCTGATTCTGAAGATCCTGAAGATTCTGAAGATGAGTCAAAAGAAGATTCTGGCAATGGATCTGATTCTGATCCAGATGCTGATGATGATCTAGAATCTGGTGGTGATCATAGTTCTGGAAGGGAAAACTTTGAAGGTGGTAACTCTGAAAGTAGTAGTTCTGGTACAACTTCAGAACAAGTTCAAAGACCACAGGGAATCAGACAAAAACCAAGAAGGTTTGCAGATTTTGACATATTGCAGGATAATGAAGTTGACTCTGAAGGAGAAGTCGTTAAGTGTGCCATGTTAGTAGATTCTGAACCAGTGGGTATTGAAGAAGCTCTCAAGAAGAAAGAATGTCTTAATGCCATGAAATAAGAACTTGAGGCAATAGAAAGGAACAAAACTTGGAAATTGACTAAACTTCCAGATAAGAAAAAAGCCATCAGCTTCTGATGGGTTTTTAAGTTGAAACTTAAGCCAAATGGTTCAATTGGCAAGCACAAAGCTAGACTATTAGCTATAGGTTTTCTTCAGAAACATAGACTAGATTACCTTGAGGTGTTTGCGCCTGTATCTAGGCATGAAACAATCGGACTGGTGATTGCTTTAGCTGCAAATAGAAATTGGCCTTTAATGCATCTGGATGTGAAGTATGTATTTCTGAACGGTCCATTACAGGAAGAAGTTTATGTGTCACAACCTCCTGGATTTGTTAAAAAGAATCAGGAAGGGATGGTATACAGGTTGAATAAAGCTCTGTATGGACTGAAGCAAGCACTTAGAGCTTGGAATCTGAAAATTGATTCATTTTCCAAAAAGCAGAGGTTTCAGAAATGTGAGATGGAATATGGAGTTTATGTACAACACTCTGATAACAATATGATTCTGGTGTGTCTCTATGTTGATGACATTTTGCTAACAGGTAGCTGCCCAGAAGATATAAAGAAATTCAAAGAAGTTCTGATGAATGTGTTCGAGATGACAAATCTAGGAAAAATGACATATTTCCTAGGGATGGAGATTCTGTACTCGAAGAAGGGTATCATTCTGCATCAATTAAAGTATGAACTAGAACTTCTGAAGAGATTTAAGCTGCAGAATTGCAAAGTTGCTGTGACACCATCAGAAACCAATCAAAAATTGGATTCTGACTCTAATGGTGATTTTGTTGATTCTACAACCTTCAAACAGTTGATTGGTTCTCTAAGGTATTTATGTAATACTAGACCTGACATTTGTCATGCAGTTGGATTGGTTAGCAAATTCATGAGTAATCTAAAGTGATCTCATTTCCAAGCTGCTGTCAAAATTCTGAGATATATCAAGGGAACCCTGAGATATGGAGTGTTGTTTCCTTCTGAAAGAAAGACAAAATCAAAATTAGTAAGTTATTCTGACTCTGACTGGTGCGGAGACAGAGTGGACAGGAGAAGTACTTTTGAATACTTGTTTAAATTTCTGGGAGGTCCCATTTCTTAGAGTTCCAAGAAACAGTCTGTCGTGGCTCTGTCAACATGTGAAGCTGAGTATATTGCAAGTGTTGTAGCTGCTTGTCAAGTTGTTTGACTTCTGAATCTCCTGCATGATCTGAAGGTTGAAGTTGAGGAACCTATAAGCTGGTGATTGATAATAAGTCTGCAATTGATCTTG